AATGAGTCAAGGACCTCCTGGTTAACATCGGGGTAGGCAGCTACAGCCAATACCATCAGGGCACTTCGGTAGGCGAGCGGAGACTCAGGGCTCCCCCTTCTCCGTTGAATAAACTTTCGTCTGGTGTCGGAAGGTGATTCGTAGACCTCTGCCATCTTGGCGTAAACACTTTGAAGCATCTTTTTTTTCTCAGGGGGAATCGATCTAAAGACTGCAAGTGCATCGTCGTCCAGGACGGTTGGCAAAGCAACCAGTGCCTCCTCCTCAGACCATTGCACTGACCAGAATGCTGCCTCAAATCTCCGAGTGAAGGCACTCCAATCGCCGCCGGCAGCGACGAATTATTTTACGTGCGAAAGCCGTCGGGTGCGCTCAGCCCCGTGTCGCCCAGCAGGAGCAGCGGCCCCTGCAGCCAGCGTGCCACGCGGCACACTGGAAATGGCGGGCTCCAGCCGCATCTCAGTCGCGCCGCCCAAGATGGTGGCATCCTGCCGCGTGGTCTCCGTTGCGCACGTAATGGCGAATGCCTCCCCAGCGCCCGTGACGGCGGCCGTCTTTTCCGCAGGGGGACCCTTCGAGGCTCCAGTCTCGAGCCTCTGCACGTCACCCCTCAGCAGTACCTCCTGCGGGTGCCCCGACGACGTGGACGAGTCGATGAGCGATACCAGCTGGAGAAGCACTGCCCGCAGTGACTCCAGCTGCTCCTCCATCCTCCTCCAGTCGTCTTCCAACTGCCATGGCAAAGAAGCCGCAAACGCGCTGCCCGCTTCTGGCGCGGCGACTTCACCAGTAACCGGGACCACGGATCCCGGGGTCAGCAGGTCCTGGGTCACCGCCCGCTCCGTCGTCGTCGGAAGATGCAACAGGCGGGTTCTTCTTCTTGAGATGCTTGGACATTTCTCTCACCGTTGTATGTTTCCATCTCCAGAAGAACCACTTCTGACTCCAATGTAATAAACGACTTCCGCGACGACTCTGGACTGGTGTCTTTTATTTAACCTTGTCTGCACAGCTCCGCGCTCTCTCTCCCTCTGGGTAGTTCTCTCGCTTCCCTCCCTGCCTTGACGATCCGTTTCCATCCACTGCCACGATACGCCTAATTCTCGCTCTCCGTTCACGCCGCTGGCTGGCGGCGTGCCCGGAGTAGATGTTGCTTCGCTGGAGGTTTGCCACATGGTCGTTGGCAAGGAGAGGTAGAGCGGCGATGCAGTCCGGACCCAAGGCTTCCCACACCGACCTCGAGTCCTCTTCTGCCTCCGCTTACAAGCCTCCTGGCGGAGCTAAGCTCCGCCTACCACCACACCCCCTCGTGGAACCTTCTGGATGGTTCCCGTATATTCCCCATAGCTCCGCCTGTTACCTTTTGCCTAGTTCGAATCCCTACTCCAGATTGGATACTGGTTACCCATGCAGATGTCCCCTGTAACCCCCCAGGTGGCACTCTCTCATTACACATTAAATCTAAAAAGGCTACGCAACAATCTGACATGTTACACAGAAATGCAAGGTGCTGTTAGTTTCATATTGACACTTGCTGGCTCATTGCGTCCAGTTTGAGCAATGAAGTGAACGGCATGTTCCACTGGCATCATCATTACTGTCATTTACAAATGGCGGGCTCTTGGATGTTCCGAGGTGTTTTTTTATTGAAATTCCGGAAACCCGACAATTTTTCAGGGATGTCTCTGTAAGAGAATATTTTTTGGTTTTCTTCATTTGTGCCTCCTATGTACCATCTGGGAGGTAGAGTGTGACAGGCGGACGACAACTTGTGAATGATATACACAATAGCTGCATGCCGTATATAGATGATGTTCATATCCGTGCAACAGATTATTATTTTGGGCTGAGTTTTGACGTAGATTTCCAGGCCCACTTCAGACACCTTAAAATGCTAATGGTGTACATTGTCAGGAATGCATCCTGGGTCACTGTATTAACAGACACCACTTCCCATTGATGGTATATATTTATGGGTATTGAACCAAGGCCACTGGGATTTGTAGCACAGAATGTGAACCACCACACTACCTCCTCCCCACAGAGAACACACAGAAAATAGACAATATTTACCTCCTAAGCAGTGATGACATCACCACACTGCTTTCTCCAGGCTAGATGGACTTTGAGGCCATATTAAGTTGCGAAAGATCACTGCTACGTAGTCATGAGGCCCTCGCCGGGCAGGTGGGGCGTGACGTCTGCCCCCTCCACTCCCTCCTCCACTCCCTACTCCACCGCATTGCTCCGCTCCCGCCGGGCCCCCGCGGGTGATCGGTCCTCCCGCGCTAGCACCTTCTCGGAGAGACATGACTAAAGCGCTGGCTTACCACCGCTCGGGGTTATTCTACACACGCCCACGTACACCACCACTAATGCGAGGGCGGCTGCGCGAACGCGCGCATCCCTGCTGGCGCTTGTACTTTAATACGCGCATGTCTCACAAATAGCGCTATAGCGGCGGCGCAAAAACGCGCGCTTCTGCAGGCGGTTTATCTCCTAACCCACGCATGCACTATGACTAATGCTACAGCTGCGGCGTGAACACGCACGCCCCTGCTGACGATTGTACTTTAATACGCACACGTCCCACAACTAGCGCTATAGTGGCGACGCGAACGCGCGCGCTTCTGCGGGCGGTTTATCTCCTACCCCACGCATGCACTATGACTAATGCTACAGCTGCGGCGTGAACACGCACGCCCCTGCTGACGATTGTACTTTAATACGCACACGTCCCACGACTAGCGCTATAGTGGCGACGCGAACGCGCGCGCTTCTCCGGGCGGTTTATCTCCTAACCCGCGCACGCACTATGACTAATGCTCCAGTGGCAGCGCGAATGTGCGCGCTTGTGCGGGCGGTTAATAGCCTAACCCGCGCATGCACTATGACTAGCACTACAGCAGTAGCGTGAACACGTGCGCACCTGCAGGCGATTCATTTAACGAGCCTTCATGTTGCGGCTCTGCCCTCGCCGCTCGTCCGCCCACACAGTTGCTCCACATACACACAGACAAATCACACTGCACCGATACTCTGTGCTAACGTTTATTCACAGCGCAAAACCCTGCACTGAGGAAATATTCTGCAAGCAGAGCCTATCCTATCACTACCCAATCCCCCCCAAACACTTACGTGCCCTGTTATATACCTCGCAGCCGTTCTCACGGAGTTGCACGAACACGGGGAGAGGCGGAGGGATGGAGATGGGAGAGAACCTTGCCTAACGCATGTCTCATGGCGACATTCGCTGGCGTCTCACGGACGCTGCGAGCGGCTCGAAGAGGCAGGGAATCGGTCTGGGTCGCCAAGCGGCTGGAGATCACAAGAGTCCTGAACCGTTTCGGGTTTCCCCTTTTTTTGCCCTGGGATATCGAAAATCCAGGGTTACATTACGTCATCCTGTGTAGCCAATCGTGCGCCTACCTTTAGATTTTTCAAACGTTTCTCTGCCGTTACCCAGAGCATTATGGTACGTAATTTTTCGGCTCATTGTCTCTGTGCCTGTATCCATTAATTCCTGACTCAGCCAGTTTATTCTGGGAGGGCGTCCCTGGCTGGCAAATACACACCCGGTGTGTGTACCTGGTCAGGGGTGCTAGGATCCCCCCGCCCTCATTATCTGCCCTGCTCGCTTAATATTTTACCCCAGCCCTTTCCCCGATATTATGCGTGACTCACTGCGGCTGGCCCGGTGAACCTTGGTGCGCCCATAAAATTTTAAGCCAATTTAGGGGGGCCGCAATGTGATTTGTCCTGGGGGGATTGGCCAATCTCCTGGCACAGGGAAACCGCGGGACTTCCCACCTAGGGGCTCTTCAGATGAAAACCCGTGGTGCCAGGCGATCCCCCACAGGGACACTACCGTAATTTCCCGCATATAGCCCGCATACGCATATAACCCGCAGACGCATATACCCCGCAAAAATAGCGTTTTGGGTAAAAAAAATTCAGATAGTCCGCATCGTTATATACCCCACATGCATTCATATCTTTAACGTCGTTACCGCAGCTTAATTCCATAATATTAATACAAAGTTTACATTTGTAATACATTCCACTATCAATAGTTAACATTAAAATCATAACGTGCAAAAAGAAAACAAACTAACCGGAAACGAGTGAACTTAAAACAGTAAATAAGTAACAAAAGTAAAGATCCAATAAATAAGTAACACATAACTGGTAGATAAGTAAGTAAGCGTACTGTTAGGCTTACCAGCATTCGACCTCATCATATGACTGTACAGTTTTAGCACTGGAAGATTGTGCACTGCGCAAACAATAGCGGCACTACGGTAACGCCATTGCCTCCTGGCAACAAAGCCATTGGAAATTTTAAACAAAGCTCATGGTCGCGACTGTATAGTGCTCAGCCAATAGCAGCGGCGTAAGAAACTCAGCAATTATGATTCCGCGTCTGGTAGACGCTTGTTAAGGCCCTTCCCATTGTGCAATCCATAGCCTGAGCTGAATCTTTCGCACCCCCCTACAGCCACTGAAAGTATTACGGTAAACAAAGTGCACCCACTTCGAACACTGTCGTTTCATTGTACAAACAATTCGAATAATTTAAAACGTGATAACATGTGCAATGTTAGTGTTAGTGGTTTATTCAGCAGTGCTTTAGTCAAAGGTAAGTATTGCATCATGGATAGTCCTACCATGAAAAATTAAACGAGTTATGACATGTCACACGTGTAAAATATTTTTGGGATCGCCCGCAACCTCCATATACCCCGCAGGGTCTTGTTTTGGTTGTAAAAAGTGGTATACCCCGCGGGTTATATGCGAGAAAATACGGTACGTGTGTATGTGTGCGGCGTGTGTGCGTTCAGGGCGGGGGTAGGGGGGGAGTCGCGGTGCTGGCGGAGTGGCTCCGCGGTCGTGGCACCACAGCAGCACTACAGTGTGTCTCACACAGTGAGATGTGGGCTACAAGCTGGGACGATGGCAGCACTGCTTAAAGTAATGTGATTGTCTTCTTTACCTTGCAGACATCGCTCGACATCGACAATATCTCACTCGTTGAAACTGGTAGCACTCAGGTATGTCTGTAACACATCATTAAAAGAAGCATTTACGACGCGTTTCTTTTTTTGTATTGATGCTGCCATTGTTGAATGATTAACGGCACCGGGCGAGCAATTCACAGGTCGCAGGTTCATTCTGTCATCTCAGCAGTTGAAACAATGGGGGGCAAGTTTTGTAAATATCCCCCGCGTCTCTCCACCCGCAGTTTGAACGAACTTAGGAGGCACTCTGGCTAATGCTGTGGGTGTATTATCCACAATGTACGCCGCCGTCTCCTTCACTGTTTATGTTAAAGATTCCCCCACTTAATTCGAAGACAAGTAGGCCAAGTAGGCCATTGTGTGTCAGTGCCATGGTCCAAATTTGCTTATATATTTTTTGCAAAATAGTAAATTATTAAACATACCAATCGTCACCCCCTCGTGTAAAAACTTAGCAGGACCCCTCCAAAAAAAGTATTTTGACCCAAGCTATCCTTTCCTGCGTATCCAAGTGTGTCAAAATCAGCAGGAATGTTGTCACCCTGAAAATGGCTCACTTCCCAATTGCATTTCACTGCCATTAACACTAAATCGCACCTATTGGCAAATGTAAATCCTTTCATAAGTTGTGTTTTTTCTAGATTTGAAGCTTTCGTGACTGCAAGGATTCATACTCTTTGGTTTTATTCGGCAAAGTCACGTAGATAAAATAAAACAAAATAAAAGAAAACAATTAAATCACGACGTTTCGGAGGCAACACAAGCTTCCGTCGTCAGGTGGAATAGTCAACGCAGAATATCTGTGTCAGGAGCACAGTTCAGAGACGACCGGGATTATATACAGGTTAAGGGAGGGGGGAGGAGTCAGTAAGGGGGCGTGGGTGGGTGGGAGGGCTGGGTTAAGCAGCCTTTTGATAGATTGCTGCGGATAACAACCACTTCCCACTGCACAAGAGTGGGTAAAACCCACCTTTGTTATGCTGCGTGGGGGGTCGGGGGGAGGAAGAGACATGCTGCATTTTTTGAAAGCGGCGGCAAATAGCTGTTCAATTATAAGGTAGCTAAAGTTTGATATACAACCACTGAGAAAAGGAAATGGTTGTACAAAAAATTGAAAGGCAGCTAACGTTTGACTTGATTTATAACATCTTTCCAGTGATTGTTCAATTTGAAACCATCCTCTCGGTTGAAGTTATGTCTGTGTTTGTAAATCTGGATGGCCTCGTGGACAAATCTCTGATAATAACCGGTAGGTTTGCAGAGCACCTTGGTATCGGAGAAAACAATATCATGATCACCCACAGCGTTGTAACAATGATCATTCTGCCGTGTTTCCAATCTGATTTGTGCTCGCGAATTCGGTCAGAGATATGTCGCTTCGTCTCCCCGATATAGCAGTCCCCGTAGGTACAACTCAATTTGTAAACACCGGGGTACTGTAAGTCAGGAATAACATCCTTTACTGACGGGATCAGATCACGGATTTTGTGCACAGTGTTGAACCGGACCTGGATCTTGTGTTTGTTTAGAATTTTGGAAATCTTTTTCGTAACGCCTGCTATGTATGGTAACGTGATGATTTTGATCGGAGTGTCAAGTAGTTGTTTCTGTATGGTGGAAGAAACAGCTTGGCGGATGGTATGGTCAGAGTAACCGTTCATCTTGAGGGCCAGATGTACATGTTTTAATTAACTGGTCAGGTGGTGTTTGTCAGAAATGCAATGAGCCCTATGGATTAACGTTTTGATGAAATAATTCTTCTGAGTCGGGTGTTGGTGGGAATCAGGTTTCAAGTAGGAGTCTGTGTGGGTGGGCTTCCTGTAAACAGAATGTCCCAAAGAGCCATCAGGCCTTCTCTCAAACAGGACATCCAAGAATGGTAGCTTGCCATCTTTCTCCACTTCCATGGTGAATTTGATGGAAGGGTGTCTGGAATTGATGTGGTATAGGAAAAGGTTCAAAGCTGGGAGGCCATGTGGCCAAATGTCGAAAGTGTCATCCACATATCTCTTCCACAGGGAAGGGCTGAGGGTGGATGTCTGGATGGCATCTGATTCAAATTTCTCCATGAAAACATTGGCTATCACTGGTGATAAGGGGGAACCCATGGGGGTGCCCTCATTTTGTTTGTAGAAGGTGCCATTCCAAGTAAAGTAGGTGAGGCAGTGCTTAACCAACGCCGGTACATCGGGGTCAAGTCCATGTTGGACCAAATCTTCGATTATTGTGATGGTATCAGGTACTGGGACCTTGGTGCTATTTAAAATGAGTTAACCCGATCCAAGACGTCTGAAAGTTACATGGTGGGTCCCGTTTACCGATGCATCTCAGAATGCGCAAACGGTTCACATTAGATAGGTGTAGCGCCATAGTTTTTAAAGACATTGTACTCACCGCAGAGAACTGTAGCAACACGACCGCACTCTATGATAACCAAACTATGCCACACACCCTCCCGCATGGCCGTGTGGGAGCCTTGGTACCGATAAAGTACACGTTCGGAATCGGAAAAGTGTAATTTTTTAACTATCGGTGTCAACTTGGAAAAATAGTTCTGTGGCATTTTCAAGGCATTTAGCTGTGAAGTGCTGTCCTCAAATTATGTCACTCAATCTCTTCCGTGGTTATCGTCCAAAGCATTCGCCTCCTTCTTGTGCTTTCATAATGAGGCAGTGCGCTTAACCTGTTCTCTTAAATCATCTTATAATGTCTTTTGTTGCCTCCTCACATTTTGCCTTATTGTGGATAAATTACAGAATCAATCATAAATATATTAATTCATTACGTCTTTTGCGAGGCTCTTTAGAGTGCATTTGTATATTTTTGTATTACCATACTCTCCCTGCACAACGTTATTTTAGACTGCCTTAAATGTTCATCTTCAAAATTGTGTCCTTCTGTGCTGGATCGATGTAAATGTTCATCAGAGGCAAACACATGTTGAGGGGAAAACATTTCTGATATTTGCATTTGGTCGAGGTGTTAAAAGGAATTGACTGAACCCGAGTATCAAAACCAGAGGGAAGAGCGCTTATGTTTTCGGAGTGTTTGCTTGTTGCACTTTTGCTTTGTCAATATGTGTGTGTATGATGGGACTCGTGGGAGGTGGTATTTTTACCTCTACATTGAAGTCACGTATGAAACCAGTAAACTGTCTCTACATGAATGTGGTAGCATATTTCACATCTGCCAGATCTGAAGCATCAATTTCAAATATAATTGTTTCCATTTTACCAAAGATATGGATACCATTATAAGTCCAAACATAATCCTATACTGTCTGCCTATAATATTGTCTACACTATTAGTCTTATTGTTATTTATCTGGCACAAGCATATCGATAATAATTGTTTTTTATTGGGAGGGAAAGTACTTGAATCATATCGTTATTACCTTTCCAGTTTAATTTGGGCAGTTTTCAGATGTGTTATTTGTAAAATTAAACTTGAAAAATAACTCACCAATAACGTATTGATGATCTGTAGGTCATAAAAAAAATACAGGGCAGCATGCATTCGTAATAGACTCAACTCATGAGAGGGCGCAAGAACAAACGTTCCAAACGCACAGCACACTGGTGCTTTTCTAATTCTTTGCAGATTTAACTTGGTGGGTACCCTCCATAAGCTGTAGAATACGAACTGACTTGGTGGTATCCGTGAATCTTTTCAATATCCACTACAATCAATATAACGTCCACTAAATGCAGCCACTTTCACGAAGTGCATTGTTTCTGCACTCGGCTAATATCAGAATATTTACTTATATTGGAGGATCTGATGAGCTATAAAGCACTTTTTCACATATGTCAAGTAGTGGTGGGTAGTTTCAAGTTTTATTCATTAGGTATAGCCCTGTGAGCCATGCGGCTCAAGTCGGGTGCAACCGCAACAAACAAAATTTGAACACAGAACATCTTAAAGCGACAACGCGTAACAGAAACATCCTGGAATAAACCAGCAAATATTCCACACACAAAAAAACGTTACCACAACAAACAGTACAAAAACATGATTCTTGAAGCATACACATGGTTATTTGCAGGTCACTTGACCGATATTTGCGTCCTCCCTCTGCCCTCTGGCCCCGTGTGCCCACAGGGTCGAGAGAAGTCGCCCAAGGGAATCCTGCGCCCGATCCCGTACACGAACGAGGCTTTTGAAGGCGGAGAGGGGGAAGACGGGGCCAACCTTGTGTCCGGCAGGACAGGCAACAGCAGTGGTGATGAACGTATTCAGATGAACGATCTGACACTCAGTCAGGGGCACAGGGTGGTGGTACCCAGTATCTCCGTGATGTGTGAGAACACCAGCAGAAACTGAGATGCGATTGTAATCATTTTCTCGCATTTTGGTGTCGCCATCGCATGAATGCAAACCTTCTAATACCCACCGTGAACACACCGAAGGGATTGAAGTGATCACAAAGGGCCAAATTCACATATTTGATTAAATAGTCCAAACACATCACATTGCAAGGGTAATTTGTCCCTTTTCCATGATGGATACCTTGCCAAGTTTTCACCAAATATCGGCTGAAAATGGACAGCCACTCCATGAATCAGGCCCAACGTAGATAACATGCCACATGGCCATGTGGACGGGGCAAGTCACATGCTGTGCCACCTCAGTAGCCCGTATGGGACTGTTGATTACATGACCATTGGGCCGTACGACTACAGTAAACCCTCTCTATCCGTGAGGGTTACATTCTTGAAAACGCTCCTGAATGCAGAATTTGCGAATGCAGAAACTCCTCAGGAGATGCAGGCATTTGATAACGACGCACAGTTATAATTTTTCACACTATGGAGAGCGTTAGCCTGCAACACTTTCCCTGATTTCGTTCACTTTCTTTTTAATAATGGACCTCACGGTCGACTCATTTATACCAAAACGTTAGCCTGCCGCGGATGCACTCTCATTGGCATCAAGCCTCACACTCTTACCTTTTCACTCAAACTCATCCCTTTCATCTGCCTTTTTTCAGCAGACACATTCTTTCATTGGACGCTTGAGAACCATGATTAATGGTAATTAACAAGCGAATACATACTGTATAAAGTAAAAATGGACAATAGCGAGTTCAGAGTGGGATTACTGCAAGACTTAAGGACAAAGCGGGGCAACCGAGGGGGCGTGCCTAATCTTCGCAGGCAGTTTCAAATGTAACCACATTCCGGTGTCGGTGGTCTGTAGGCACTACGATCACTCGCGAATTCTCGAGTCGGATCACGAATAGGAAATTAATAAACATTTAGTAACTCGCGAATATGCGAAACTCGCGAAACCAAAGCTCATGCATAGCGAGGGTTTACTGTACTTGCTCCCCAACTGCACTGATCTCCCACGTGCCTGACATGGCACCTGCATTCTAAATCTCAATCAGTTTTTTTGGTTTTTTTCAGTTTATTTATTTTGGTATAGCCCTGTGAGCCATTCGGCTCTTGAATCGGGTGCAACCACAACAAACAAAAAAACTAAAAAAACGAACAAGAAAACATCTTAAAGTGACTATGTGACTTGCAAACAGAAAATCCATGAAAAAAAACAGCAAAATATTCCTGAAAAAAGCACCGTACACCAACGCTGTGTGCAAAAAATCCCAGTGGGATGCAAGTCAAACAACAACAACCACAAGAAAACTTAGATTAAGGCCACCAGTCTAACTCCGTACTACAACAAAACAAACATGTCCAAACCAAAAAAACGTTTTTGAAATCACCAAAAAATAAAGCCATAATTGCAACGTAACAGTGATCATAGGGACTGTGACCGAATTTTTACAATAAACTACATAAATAACATGTAACACCAAATCCTAGAGCCATAGCTGGCTGCATGAGTTACTCCACAACAACAGAAGCATCAGTCGGAGTATCAAGTTTTCAATGCACCTTTAAGATCAGCACGCTAAATCAAAATACAGATAATACTTTGCAGCGTCATCCGGAGCGAAACATTTTATTTTATGTGGCAGCTAGGGGTGTACAACTCCTCTAGAGCAGTTTTGAGAGAAGATCTCATTGGTAGCGATTCAAGTTGCAGTTTATTAGCAATATCATTCCAGACCCTGGGGGCATCAATAGCAAAGGCCCTCCCTCCAGTTTTTGTATGGCAATAGGGAATGTGAAGCTGGTAAATGAGCAAAGACCTGAGGTCAAATTTTTTCTTTGAAACAGAGAGGAGATCCAGCAGGTAGTTTGCGGATTTTTCTGTAAGTACATCGTGAATAAATAAGATCTGGTGCACAAGCCGTCGAACATTAATAGATGTTAAGTTTGACCCAATGTAGAGATCACAGTGGTGAGTCCTATATGGGCAGTTCAATGTAAATCTTAAGGCCGAGGGATAGATGGAATCAAGCTTCTTCAGTACAGTACTTGGGGCTAATTTATACACAATGTTAAAGTGGTCAAGTAAAGACAGCATGGTAGCTTTTATCAATTTCCGAGAGAGAAGACAATTTACTGCCTTCAAGAATGCTTCGAATGGGATCATCTTTCAGTTTGTTGTCGATCACCTAGTAATCATTGTCTCCATGAGAATTAACCTCATAGTACAGTGCAACGTACAATTAATTATTGGTGGAGTCCGATGGTGATGGGCCTCCAGAGATGGGGTTATTGAATTGCAGAGATGGAACCAGTTGCCTGCCACCACCTGCAATGCAATGAGATATGCATTGGTTTTCTCCAGCCACTTTAATATTTTTTCTGCTTGCAAAATGTATCAAAGAGGAATTGGCCAAACATCCAAAGCAGGAACCTCCTGAGGAAATCGGTCTGTGCCTTTGTGAGGTTTTCCTGAGTTAAACATAAAAACGAAAGAATGGCATGTCAAACAAAACACAAATCTGTGCATATTCAGTACAACGGAACGCGCCGATGTATGGAAGCATCCATTCGTGGATGAGACAATATATTATTCTACTGAATGTAAGTGCATTGAATCGCGTGCGTTGTAATATACCATTTAAAGTTCATGCAGATTATACAAAAAATTTCAATGCTTACAAATGGAGTGAACCAAATTGTAGGAGGCAAAAAGAGAAGCCAAGAAACAAGTTGATAAAAGGAGAAAATAATGTTAAAGAAAATGACCATAAATCCTGACATTTCATGACATAAACGTGGAGTAGTCAGGGTTTGAATCATGACATACCTATTCATGTCCTAGTTCTCTAAACATTTAGACCACCCTGTGTACGTATGTTGAATTTCTTTTGCACCGGACGTAGTCAACCGTGCTAATCGGAGGAGGAGGGGTGTATACATTACTGAGTGGGCAGCGGTAGCGTAGCGGTTAACGTACTGTGCTATGAACGTGGCGAGCCGAGGGGCAGAACTCCACACAGATAGGCACCCAAGTCAGGGATTGAATCGGGGTTTTTCTTGCTTGAGGCACAAGCGTTTTCCCTGTGCCACCTGCAAATAGAAAACGCGAAGTGGAGCTCACTGTTTCCCTGCCACCATCGCACGTCCCAGATGAATTACGTGCACAACACCATGGCTATTACTAAATACCCCCTTGTGAACGCAAATACAAAAGTATAATACAATGACAGCTTATTTCGTTTATCCTGCAGCATTTTGGTGACCTCGTATGCCAGTGATATGGACTTGTAGAACAACGATTAACAGTGTTGCCGTGCACTATGAAATTATCAAAATGCTGCTCGATTGGGTTTTTTAGAACAAGATAAATCTTTGCATCAGCAAACTTTCCAGGAAGGCATTCAAAAGCCAGTCCACAAGTATGGGAGTCACAGGGAGTAAACTTGTCTTTTAAATAGTTTATATAGTTTCAACTAGCTACATGTTGCTGAAGAGGCTCAACGAAAGCAAAACTTGTCTAAAATGTTACCAATGGTAGAAGCTAATGGTAACCGAATGATTTTTTCAAATGTATTTATCATCATTTATAATATTATCAATCCCTTCTTTCCTACAAGTGTGAGCATTCCCTACGGTCCGTAGGTCAAACTGCCCCACACCGCCGGTGTCACATCTTGAAAGAATTGCGCACGTGTGCAGGCCTTGAGCTTCGTCTGTCAGTGAAGCCACTCCCCCGCTTGCTCTGGACGCTTTTCTGTACGCGCACGGCAGGGTCCCCCCAAAATAGACGCGGGCATGCAGTGGGCCCAGAGTAAGGCCCACGAGCTTGATATACACGGCATTCAATTCTGACAGCCCCCATCATTGTGCGTGCGAATTTTATGAACCATCTTCATTGGAACGGTTGTAGATTGGACACAAAGTAGCTTTTTCTATATGCACACCCACACGCCTGCTTTTTTGTTGTCTCAATGACAACGAACCGTTTAATTTTATATTTCTCGTGTCTATTTTTGTGGAGTGAGATATGAGCCCTGGCAAGTGTCCCAATGCGGCCATGATGTCAAACGGTTGTTGGGTAAATAAGACATCGTGAGATTAACACAGCCTTTTCGAATGAGATTGGAGTCCATTGACGTGATAGGTCTCTCGCAAGGAATACTGGGGATTAAATTACAATGGAACTGCAATGATGCGTAGTTGCAAGTGCTTGTACCTCACGAGATCAGAGCATATTTACTACGGTATCTTAGTAACGTCGATCGAGGGCTGGCACATTCTGTTAAGATGCTCACTCATCCTAGATTATTTCCTGTCAAACATGGATGATAATTGGATTAAAAAAATAATGTGCAATGCGCCCCATTGAGTTCGTTATGCTAATTACATTGAATTAGACATTTTAATTGAATTGGGTAAAAATTCTTCACCCGCCCTCGATAGTTTCCCCTGGGTGCGCATTGCACGTGTGCGTATGCGTGCACGGGTGTGTGTGCGCGCTCGCGCGCATATGGAGCAGATGGTACCCTCGCGTCTTAGCAGCTTATAATGAGGAGGCGGTAAATGAGACGGAAGTGGTGTAGAGTTCTCTGTGCAAAACCTTCCCGCCTGACCGCCTGGGGCAGGTCTTGCGAGGTCAGGTCATGTTCGCAAGCTCCAATTAACGTCCAGCACGGACTGCATCACGAATACAGCCAAGCACACTCGTGTTTATTGATTGAGGGATGTGTATGTGTGTGTGACAGTTTTGTTTCCTGGACTACAGGTTGTGTGCACGGTCAAATGAAAGACAATTTGAAGAGACTATTGCACGAATATGTTCACTAAGTTGTGTATGTCTGAGTGCGCGCTAAGTTTTAGAATACGTTAAATACGTATCCAAAAATAAAAGAAAGAACAGCAAGCAAACTAATTAAACAAGATGGCCAGTTCTTTAAGAGTTCCTCTGATGTAATAACAAAAATGGAAATCATAATAATAGGTGGTATACAAAATACCCCCTGGTCATTGCTAAATAAACTGAAATTTTACTTTAATTAAACAAATATAAATAGCTAGTCAGTGATGCATAGTAAAATGACGGGCTGTATATCTGGCCATGCGAAGACTTTTGTGATTGGGCATTTTACACTGTTTTCAAATATTTAAAATAGTTATACAGAGCAGTCATTTAAGATATTTGCACATTAAACTATTTCCACTCTAATACGGAAATGGATACAACATGATTTGAAGTGAATAATGTACTGCGCTTGCAAGCTAACCAAATGGATACGAGACCATTTCTGTAACGCATGTTTGAAGTGTCACTTCTGTAGGGCAATACCGACTACACACCTGATAGAGGTGTAACGATTCGATGAGTTGTAGAATTGGGGGAATGTGTTTCAAGACTATTATTATTTGAACTTTGTCGAGAATGCTGTTGTTACTGATGACTGCAACAGTCATGAGGACCCATTACACAAAATACGTCTGAATCAAGAGCATTGGATCTCACACACACTCCGATGCACATATTGTGTGCTTACTAAATATGAATCAACGGATTCGTGGATCGTTACATCTCTAGTGTGTAATCTACAATGTGTGCGTTCTAATAAATCACGCTGCTTGTGAATCCGATAGGGTGACCTGAAAAGTAACTGTCAGGGATCGCGAACAAAGAGTTTTAATTGTGGATTGTCGATGCTCCGATTTTTAAGTACAATATTTTTCTCCTGTGATAAAAAAACGTAATCTGTATCTGTATATTTAGAATGTATTATACTATGTGTAGCGAACCCTTAGCCAAACACGAGTTACAATGTCCGATTTATTTGTGTACAATGGAACATTCTGCAATTAAAATGTGAATATCGCTGTCATATATTCTTCACTCTGTTAGCTCATTTCGTTGTATGAACAAAACACATGTTAAACTTAAACTGTGGAGTGTGACAGTCAGATAGATTGAATACGATACGACTATACACGGTTGTTTGTTGTGTTGTATAAAAATAAAAGAACTACATTGACACTGTGGACACAGCGTCTACCTTCACACACAAAGCTGCGCGCACGTTGCGGACTGCAGTGCAAAAATGCCTGTAGAGGGCAGTAGGCAAGCGGATTTTTGTATTGACAGAACTTCGCTCCGCTCGGTTGGAGCAT